TTGTTTTAAAAAATTAAAACAAAATGTTATTTATTAATATTTCAATTAGTAAAAATTTCTTCTAAATTATAGTAATTTTCTAGAAAAGATTTAGTGGAAAAGAATTATAATTACTAAAATTACTAAGCAAAAAATTTATTTAAGAAATAGACTGAATAAATAGAACTGAAAATTACAAATAAAAAATTAATAACGAAAAAGTAATTTCACTATTATTTAAATTCATAAAAATTGATGCTAATTTTTAGCAATTTTGCTACTGAAGATTTACTAAAAAAAGTTAAATTTGCTAAAGAAAAAATAACTAAAGAATTAGAACTTTAAAAAGCAATTTAAAAATAAAAAGTAAAATTAAAAAGTAGAAAATAGAAAAAAAAAATTAGTAATTAAAAAGTAAATTACTATCAATTTCTACTAAATTTAGCAATTTTCTACTAACGATTTAGTAGAAAAAATGTTTAACTTTCACCACTACTGATAAAAAAAATAATTAAAGAAATATAAACTACAAAAATAAATTAAAAATAAAAACTAAAAGAAGTTATTTTTTACTATTTTAATTATTAACAATATCTGCTAATTTCTAGCGATTTTCTACTAAATATTTACAAGACGAAAAAATTCGAACTATTACATATAACTAACAATAAAAATTACTAAAGAAACAATAAATACAAAAAGTAATTAAAAAATAAAAATTAAAGTTCTTCGTTGATATTAAAATTAGTAAAGAAATTTCTTCTAAATTTTAGTAATTTTCTACAAAAGATTTGGTGGGAAAAAAATTAAAATTACGAGAAGTATTGAAAAAAATACTTAAGAAATTAGAACTTAAGATTGTAATTAAAAGATTAATAAGAAAAATGTTATTAATGGTTATTTAAATTTTTAAAAATTGTTAATAATTTTTAGCCATTTGATACTAAAAATTTAGTAAAAAAATTGTAATTTAAAAAAAAAATTTCAAAGAAAATGTAATTAAAGAATTAGAACTGTAAGAAGAAATTAAGAAAAACAAAATTAAAAAGTGTGAATTGGAAAGAATTTTTAGTAACTAAATAAAGATTTAATAACAATTTCTGCTAATTTTTAACAAATTTCTACTACAGGAAAATTTTGAACTGTTACGTCTACTAATAAAAAAAATACTAAAGAAATTAGAACTAAAAATTGTAATTAGAAAATTAGCAACTACAATGTCAATCACTAATTTTTAAATTTGTAATAATTGTTGCTAAATGTTAGCAATTTGCAACTAACAAAAAAAATTTGATTTCCTAGAGATAAAATAAAATAAAATAACTGAAGAATTTGAACTATAAAAAGCAATTAAAAAAGGAAAATTAAAAAGTGCGAATTAAAAACAATTTTTTAGTAATTAAAAAGTGAATTAGTAACGATTTCTGTTTTCTGCTAATTTTTAGTTATTTTCTACTAAAGATTTAGTACTAGAAGAAAAATTTAAAACTACGATTACTAACAAAAAAAATATACTAAAGAAGTGAAAACTAAATTGCAATTAAAAATATAAAAACTAAAAAAAGTCATTCACTAATTTTCGATTTAGTAATAATATCTGCTAATTTTTAGCAATTTTCTATTAAGGATTTAAAACAAAAAAAAGTTAGGATTATTAAAACTAGTAATAAAAAAAATAATTAAATTAACTGACTAAAAATAACTACAAAAGCAATTAAAATATTCAAATTAAAAGAAGCAAATCAGTAATATTTCAATTAGTAAAATCAAAAGAAAAAAATGAGTGAGAATAAAACAGTATTTTCACTATTTTAAAATTTTTCTAGGCTAGAAATTGAAAAATAAAATTACCACAATTAGATATTGGCAATTCGACATTATTCACGAATTAAATGAAATAGAATTTATTTCCATCTCTTTTTTTTTTGTTTTCGAGGATAAAAATCTGAGATTCACGACAGTTAATCATGTTGCGGTTTTGCAATTACAAGTAGAGCGTCACGCTGTCATGGTGAAAAACAAAAGAACCGTATCATGAAAAAGAATTATGACTGGGCCGCGTTATAGAGTTATTCTTGTTTCCAGTTCTCTGCAGTCAAATTAAATCTGAATGCAATTTTTAGCCCAATTTAAGACCATGAGTTTTATCCATATATACGGCAATATTTCAAGTATTGTTGTGAATTTCATTTTTTCTTTATATCTATCACGCATAAAGAAGAAAATCAGAAAATTTAACAAAAATTTAAATAACAAATTTTTTTTCGATATTTTTATATAAAATGAACAAAAAATTATCATGACATTATTAATTAATGATAATAATTCCGCTAATTAATTGTACAAATAAATTATTTAGCAACTAATTCATATTAAACAGTTAGTATAACTAATTCTTGTTATAAAATGAGTAACTAATTAATATTATATAATTAGTAACAAATTAATAATTATTATACAATTGGTAACTAATTAAAAAAATTAATATTGTACAATTAAATTTATTAAATTAATATTGTATGAGAAACAAATTAATATTATGAAGTTAGTAATTAATTAGTAACAAATTAATAAAAAATGAAATAAAAAAAAATTAAAGTGAAATAAATTAATGAACGTAAATTAAATTAATTGAAGTAAAATTAAAGTTAAAAAAAAACAATAAAAGTCAAGTAAATAATTAAGTAGTTACGGGAATTTTTTAATGTCACGCAGTGAGGACGATAATGAGTCACTAACACTCACAATGTGACAAAAGAGTTAAAAATTGTCAGCTTTAATATTTCTTACTTTAATGTTATTAATTAAAAAAAAAGGAAAGAGAGAAAAATGCGAACAGATTTTATTATTATATCACAAGTGCTTGTGTGAATAATTAACAGAATTTTTTTTTCCATCTTTTTTTTTCATTTCCATATATATATGTATATATAGAATTTTTTTTTCTAAACTCAATTATTTCCCTATGCAAATTAATTGCTATCGAGGAAAATGCAAGTGCAATGAGAGTCGTTGTTCGTATTAAAATAAATTAATTTGGATTAAGAAGCATCTTAAATCATTGAACCGAACTGACCCAAATTAGTTTGCTCAGCTCGAGATTAAAGTTTACCAATTCTCCTTGTGCCTTCCCACAAGATTCATAATATATAGCTCTAAATATATCGGTAATTCAAATTTTCCAAATTTAAAAATCAATCGATAATATTCAGATATAAAGTTAATAAATTAAAAAATATTATTAATAAATAAAATATTATTAATAAATTAAATAATATTTTTATTTCAACAAAATAAATATATTTGTTTGGTATTAAATAAATATTGATTTGTATCAGGTGAATTTTATATTTGTTCATTAAATTGTATTTGCTTCATTTATTGAAAATATTTATATTTATAATGCAATTTATTTGATTTAAGCAAAAATTATTCAAGTAAATAATTAATTAATTTAAAGAAAATTATTTGATTTATGTGAAAATGAATTTAATTAATGTAAGTATTTACTTCATTAAAATAAGAATTATTCTATTTAAGTAAATATTTATTGGATTTAAGTAAAAATTATTCGAATCAAGTAATTATTTATTTGATGAAAGTAAAAATCATTTAATTCAGGTAAATATTTATTTGAGTAAAGTAAGAATTGGTTAAATTAGGTAAATATTTATTCGAGTTAAGTAAAAATTATTGGATTTAGGTAAATATTTATTTGATTTAAGTAAAAATTATTCGATTCAAGTAAATATTTATTTGATTCAGGGAAATATTTAATTGATTCAAGTAAAAATTATTTGATTCAGGTAAATATTTATTTGATGAAAGTAAAAATTATTTGATTCAAGTAAATATTTATTCGATTCAAGTAATTATTTATTTGATGAAAGTAGAAATGATTTATTTCAGGTAAATATTTATTTCATTGAAGTAAGAATTGTTTAAATCAGGTAAATATTTATTTGATTCAAGTAAAAATTATTTAATTTAGGTGAATATTTATTTTATTCAAGTAAAACTTATTTGTTTCAGAAAAATATTTATTTGATTTAAGTAAAAGTTATTTAATTCAAGTAACTATTTATTTGATTCAAGTAAAAATTATTCGATTCAATAAATATTTACCATAATTAAGTAATTTAATTATTTTCATAAAATAATTATTTGACACGAAGAATTATTTGATGAAAATAAAAATTACTTAATTATGGTAAATATTTATTTGATTGAAGAAAGAATTGTTTAAATCAGGTAAATATTAATTCGATAAAAGTGAAAATTATTTGATTCAAGTAAATATTTATTCGATTCATGTAATTATTTATTTAATGAAAGTAAAAATTATTTATTTCAGGTAAATATTTATTTCATTGACTCAGGTAAATAAATATTTGATTCAGTAAAATATTTATTTGATTTAAGTAAAAGTTATTCGATTTAAGTAAATATTTATTTCATTCAGGTATATATTTATTTGGTGCAAGTAAAAATTATTCTATTCAAGTAATTATTTATTTGATTCATAAGTAAATATTATTCCATTCAAATAATTATTTATTTGATGAATGTAAAAATTACTTAATTCTGGTAAATATTTATTTGATTGAAATAAGAATTGTTTAAATCAGGTAAATATTTATTTGATTCAAGTAAAAAGTATTTGATTTAGGTAAATATTTATTTTATTCAAGTAAAACTTATTTGTTTCAGAAAAATATTTATTTGATTTAAGTAAAAATTATTCGATTCAAGTAACTAATTATTTGATTCAGGGAAATATTTAATTGATTCAAGTAAAAATTATTTGATTCAGGTAAATATTTATTTGATGAAAGTAAAAATTAATTGATTCAGGTAAATATTTTTTTGGATAACGTATTATTAAAGGCAATATTATAAATATTTTTGTGATAAAAAATGAGAATATTTTAAACATTTTTTCAATAATAAAAATATTATAACAGCATTTTTTAAAAAAATAAATGAGATCATTATTTAAAAAAAATTTTTTTTGTACTTACATCAAAATCGGCATTACACTTGACGAGATCCTGAGGATGTCCAGCGTAGAGTTTTAAAGTTTGTAGAAGACCCTTGAAATAAACAATTAGAAAATAGTATAAAGCTGCGCGATAAATGGGATTTGTCATTCTCGATACGAGTCTCGTTGTTTCTGGAATTTTTTTGTATTTATTTATTTTTTTCCTTTTTTTTTTTTTTGAAACACCACGACCTTATTCCACCAGTATAGAACACAATCGATCAAAAACGGATTTTATCGGTCACCAATTCACACGCCGCACTCTTCGTGTATATATGCGCGCTTTACCGAAAAATAATTCAAATTCCACGAGGGAATTTTACCACAACATCATTGCGTGAATTATTTTGAACTTTATAATTTACCTCGAAATTTCACAAATTGAAAATGTTTTGCATTTGGTGTAAATTCATGTTTCCTGTTATTAAAAAATATTCATTACATTCAAAGTTCCATTTGGCTTTTTAAATTTGAAAAAAAAATTCTTCATTTTAATGAGTAAATTAGATTTATTCGAAGAATAAAACTTCATTTAAAATTTTTCAAAAATGTTTTTAACTAAATAAATTTTAGTAAAAAAAATAAGTTTTTCATTTAAAACATATTTTTATTAACGGAAAAATATTTCTTTAATTTAAAGAAATTTTGAACTACTTGAAGTTTATTTCTTTGTTTTAAGCTTTCTTGTATCTTATTTTTCATAAAAATAATATTTCTTCAATGAAAAACATGTTCCTTCATCTTAAAGTATATTTTTGTATCAAATTGGAAATATCATTTAAAAACTTAATTCTTTCCTCTAAATGATACTTTTTCAATTGGAAAAATGTCATTCAGCTTTTAAAGAAGATCACTTATTTATAAATGGCATGTCAGTGTTTTATAAATTTAATGAGAATTTAAATTCAGAGATTATGTTTCAACTCGAAAAATTAATTTTTCAATAACAAAAACTATTATTGGAATTCGAAGAATATTTCAGAGAAAATTATTATTTTTCCAATTTTGCAATGAAAGAAATTTTTAAGTTAACAAGTAATTTTCAATTAAATGACAAATTTTTTAAACTGAAAATGATTTTTAATTTTTTTTTCTGATTTTTTCATTATTCTGATACAAAGAAGTATTTTTAATATTCAAAATAAGTTTTTTAATTTAAAGATAATTTTTCATTTCAAAAAGTACTTTTATACAATAAAAATACTTTCAATACAAAAAAAATAGCTTTTCTTTAAGAAAATAAAAAACTATTTTTACAATTAAAGAAATTTTTGCATGAAAAAAAAAATTTTCAATTCAAAGAAATATTTTCAAATTGAAAATGATTTTTAATTTTAAAAAGAATTTTTCAAATTCAAAATAAGTTTATAAAGTTACAGATAATTTTCCAATTTTAAAAAAAACTTTTATACAATAAAAATGCTTTTAATATAAAAAATAGTATCCTTAATTAAAAAAAAACATTATCGTTCAAATAAAAAATATTTTTCAATTCTAAAAAATATTTTTCAAATAGAAAATAATTTTCTAAATTTACAGATAATCTTCCGTTTCAAATAAAATTTTTAATTCATATTAAAGAATATTTTTCAATTCAGAGAATTGAAGAAATGATTTTCAATTTTCAAATTAGAAAATTGAAAACATAATTTTTAATTCATATTGAAAAACATCTTTCAATTCAGAGAATTGAAGAAATTATTTTCAAATCAGAGAATTGAAAACATAATTTTCAATTAATTGAAAATTATGTTTTCAATTTGAATAATAATATTTTTTAATTTTAAGTTAAGAATGTAATAAAATTTAAGTTTTTCATATCAGAAAATTGAAAACGTAATTTTGAATTCATATTGAATGATATTTTTCAATTCATAGAATTGAAAACATAATTTTTAATTCAAATTGAATATAATTTTTCAATTCAGAGAATTGAAAACATTATTTTCAATTTATATTGAAGAATATGTTTCAATTCAGAGAATTGAAAACATAATTTTCAATTCAGAGAATTCAAGAAATTATTTTCAAATCAGAGAATTAAAAACATAATTTTCAATAAAAAAAACATAATTTTTAATAATATATTTTTCAATTCAGAGAATGAAAACATAATTTTTAATTCATATTGAAGATAATTTTTTAATTCAGAGAATTCAAGAAATTATTTATAATTCAGAGAACTGAAACATTATTTTCAATTCATATTGAAGAAATTGTTTTCAATTTTAATAATAATATTTTTTAATTTTAAGAATGTAATAAAATTTAAGTTTTTCATATCAGAAAATTGAATACGTAATTTTCAATTCATATTGAATAATATTTTTCAATTCAGAGAATTGAAAACATAATTTTTAATTCATATTGAATTAATTTTTCAATTCAGAGAATTGAAAACATTATTTTCAATTTAAATTGAAGAATATGTTTCAATTCAGAGAATTGAAAACATAATTTTCAATTCAGAGAATTGAAAACATAATTTTCAATTCAGAGAATTCAAGAATTTATTTTCAAATCACAGAATTAAAAACATAATTTTCAATAAAAAAAAACATAATTTTAAATAAAATATTTTTCAATTCAGAGAATAAAAACATAATTTTTAATTCATATTGAAAAACATCTTTCAATTCAGAGAATTGAAGAAATTATTTTCAAATCAGAGAATTGAAAACATAATTTTCAATTAATTGAAAATTATGTTTTAAATTTTAATAATAATATTTTTTAATTTTAAGAATGTAATAAAATTTAAGTTTTTCATATCAGAAAATTGAAAACGTAATTTTCAATTCATATTGAATAATATTTTTCAATTCAGAGAATTGAAAACATAATTTTTAATTCATATTGAATATAATTTTTCAATTTAGAGAATTGAAAACATTATATTCAATTTATATTAAAGAATATGTTTCAATTCAAAGAATTGAAAACATAATTTTCAATTCAGAGAATTCAAGAAATTATTTTTAAATCAGAGAATTAAAAACATAATTTGAAAAAAAAACATAATTTTTAATAAAATATTTTTCAATTCAGAGAATTGAAAACATAATTTTTAATTCATATTGAAGATAATTTTTTAATTCAGAGAATTCAAGAAATTATTTTCAATTCAGAAAATTGAAAACATTATTTTCAATTCATATTGAAGAATTTGTTTCAAATTCAGAGAATTGAAAACATAATTTTCAATTCAGAGAATTCAAGAAATTATTTTCAATTCTGAGAATTGATAATAATAATATTTTTTAATTTTAATAATGTAAGAAAATTTAATTTTTTCAAATCAGAGAATTGAAAACATAATTTTTAATTCACTGATTTGAACATCATTTCTCCAATTCTCTGAATTAAAAAATTGTCTTCAATATGAATTGAAAATTATGTTTTCAATTCTCTGAATTCGAAAAATTCTCTTCAATATGACTTGAAAATTATGTTTTCAATTCTCTGATTTGGTGATGGTGACAAAGATCCTTTTTTTCTTTTATACCTTGATAATGAATTTTTTGAATTCAAATTCAAAAAATTCATTATCAAGATATAAAAGAAAAAAAGTTTCTTTATCATCATCACGCTATATGGTAATCACGCTCATTAAATCAATTTTAAAAAAATGTTACACTACATTTTCAAAAGTATTGAATATCAAAGGTTGATAATTTGTAACTTTCTACAATATATAAAATATACATCAATATATATATATATGTATCTACCCCCTTATCACGTTTCAACGTTTATTGCAGTGCTTGGTAACTATATAATACGGGGGTTATTGGGGGGTGGGGGGGGGGGGGGAATGAAACTGAGTCTACTGAAAGCATCAGCGTGTAATGATTTGTGTTTTGAAACCGACGACACTATTCTCTTTATGTTGTCTCGGTATATCATTACGCAGAAACTGGAGCACGTTTTCACAACTATGAAGGAAAAAAAAAATTTTTCTTTTTTTAACTGCACACACGAAGAGAATTTTGAATCACTGCGCCTATGTTGAACTCACTCTCTGATGATGGAAAACAATGTTATGTCTCTTCTCACGAGAAGAGAGACCCGCATGTTTATGAGATGTATATTATTGTATATATTGGAATTCGACCCCGCGTCGAATAACGCGTTATTCTCGGGGTTAAATGAACGATCTATCGATACACTGCTTTATCGAGTCGCAAATGGACATGCGGGTTTAATTAAGCTATCCTCATAATTGCACTCATTGAATTCAATTAAGTCATTCGCAACGCAAAAACGACTTTCAATACTCCTTTATCATTTCATCGCCGCCTTTTTTTCTTCTTTCATTCTTTCTTCATAAATTCCACTTGTCAGACTCTTTGATTGAATCTTTGGAATTACTTATAACGTCTGCAGAGAGATTTCACTTTTTTTTTTCTTTTCATCAGAAAGAAAATTCTGGTAAAAAAAATAATTTTATGTTCTAAGAGATAAATTTTTTTTTTCTTATCTTTGATTTTGTCTGATTATTATATTTAATTAACTAGCAAATGCGGAAACGCGGTGTTCCATTTATTATTATTTTGTAAATTAAAAAATTTTATATTTTTTTTTTTGAAAAGAATTTTATTAAAATTGTATTTAAAATAATTGAATTTCTGTGAAAAATGTACTATTTTTTGTTATTATTGAATATTTTCGAAGAATTTTTAAAAAAATGTTTAAAAATAATTTAATTCACCCTGGAATACAATTAAAATTGTATTTAAAATAATTGAATTCCAGCGAAAATTTCATTATTTAAGAAAATAATTGAATTCTTGAATTTAATTTTATTAAAAGTTTTTTAAATAATTGAACTCATGTGAAAAATTCAATTATTTTTTAAAATAATTGAATTTTCTAGGAAAATAATATTGAAAATAATAAGTATTGAAAGTAAGTGAAATCCTAATTACAGATTTTCAATTTAAAGAATTCACTTATTAAGTACATAAGATTAAATATTTTTGTTTATTATTATTTAAAAATTTTAATACAAAATAATTTTCAGCAAGAATTTTATTATTCTCATAAGTAATA